TTTTGGTATAAGTGTTGGTGTGGATGAGGGTGTGCTGGTGTGTAGGTGGACTGTGGAGTGTGGTGTAGATGTCTGTAGGAGTATTTTCTTAATCCACATGCACCCAAACCCACACCCTCATCCACACCAACACTTATACCAAAATCCCACACCTACACCCAATAAGTATACTAGATCATGCCAGGGTGTGGGTGTGGGTGTGGGATTTTGGTATAAGTGTTGGTGTGGATGAGGGTGTGCTGGTGTGTAGGTGGACTGTGGAGTGTGGTGTAGATGTCTGTAGGAGTATTTTCTTAATCCACATGCACCCAAACCCACACCCTCTTTCGGATAGACCCTAAACACTGGGCATAAAACCACTCTCGCGTCCGTAGCATACGACTGGGCTACTATTAGACTCATTGACACATGTCATCGGATGGGTGGCATATGAATGATATGAGTCTTCGCGTGTGTGCATGAGCTTTACGCTCGTCACGGTGCGTGCGAATAGAATAAACATTCATTTCATCAATTCAATGTTATTTATTTCAAGGAAAGGAAAGAAAAAAAAATAATCCATCATTTTGACTCTATTCGATTGAAAATCGTTGAACACAATGATTTCCTTCATTGGCGACATAGAGATTGCCATGACGATCGAAGAACAAACCCTCGGGAAAACCCAACTGACCATTTTCACCCACAATGACACTGCCATGCTTTGCTCCTTGAGGCCAACGCATTACTCTATTATTCCCCCATTCTGCCACATAGATGGTACCCAATATATCGACGTATAGTCCTCGAGGAACCGACAATTGTGTCAGAGCAGTTCCTTGACCTCGACCCCCAGCGACGATAATTCCTTCTGTCGCACCTTTATTCCATTTCATAACACGATGATTCCAGTTGTCTGACACGTAAACAGCCTGATCTTGATCGACAAAGATGTGAGTCGGCCAGCTGAGTTGATTGAGAGCAACACCGTAGCCATTACCACCAGCAACGAGAGTTCCATTCTTATCTCCTATTTGATATCGTCTTACTTCATACTTTTTTTCGTCAGAGATGTAGAGATATCTCTGATCATCCATGGTCAATCCCCAACAAGTGATATCGCTTAGGAGAATTTCTCCTTGAGTTGTGCCACTACGACGAGACCATCGTACGACTCGTTGATTGTCTCGATCACAAATAATGAGACTATCCGTCCCTTTATCGATAAACATATCGGTTGGACCATACAGTTGATTCAATTGATTTCCTGGGCCATGACCACCAGCTACCACTTGTCCATTCGTATCACCCATCTTCCATTGGATGATACGAGCATTGTAGAAGTCAGCGATGAACATCGTTTGATCGCCATCAACAAAGAGAGCAAGAGGATGCGAGAGTTGATTTGTGGCACTGCCCCCTCCATTACCTCCAGCAACGATCACCCCATTCTGTGTCCATCGGGCATCGACTGGAATATTGGGAATTACTACAATTAACGAAAAAGAAAATGAAGCATCGTTATCGAAGAAATCTCCCTCTCTCGCGGCGGAAAGAGCTATGAAGGAGACATTTGCCTTCTTCGAAAGGGTGTGGGTGTGGGTGTGATGAGAAGAATAGAGACACCCACACCGACCCACCCACACCAACACCCACACCCTTCTTTCTATATCATTTTCAAGGGTATTGATTACTCTATCCAACGGTACAGTTTCCTTTTGACTTATTCTCTAGGCTGAAGGGAGAGTCATCTTAAATAATATCTTCCAGTATGTGTGTATGTGTCAGGGTGAAAAAAACATTGTCTGAAACAATAATGCGCACTTCTTTTCTACATCTACTCCGGTATAGCTTGACAAAAAGTTTTATGGGGTTGAGGAATCGATTGGTACCATTGGTTTATGAAAAAGTTTAGATAGATGCTTTAGTGAAAAATAGCTTGTTTTAGCTCAAAGAAAAACTGTGCTCCAAACTAGGTAAACTAAAAATTAGGAGCTCATTGTAGGACCCACCTCGGATGGCAGTAGCATCACCTGGGATGGGACCAGCATCAATTGGTATGCTAGGAGCATCAACTGGGATGCTAGTTACATCACTTGGGATGCTAGGAGGATCATTTGAGATGCTAGTAGCATCAACTGAGATGCTAGTAGTATCACTTGGGATGCTAGTAGCATCACTTGGAAGGATATTAGCGCCACTCGAAGTGCGAGTAGCATCACCTGAAATGTTGATAGCATCCTAGGTGATGCTACTAGCATCCAAGTTGATGCGCTAAGATCTCAGGTTATATGTCTAGTGAACATTAATTATAACTCCCGAGCTAGTATCTCAGTGGAATGCGATCTTACTGTGATAAACCAGAAAACATGGATTGTGTTTTATTGGGAAATGGTGGATGGGTAAGTGAGCTCCATGTTTGGAGTTTACATGTGGAGCTCACTTTTTTGAACCCTTTTTCGAGGAAAACAATGATTTTTGTGAACTTTGACTAAAGGTTTTCGACGTCGACAAATTGATTGGTGGCATTGGTTTTTGAAAATTTTCGAATGGATTTTTTCATTGGAGAAAGGTTTTTTGAAGGAAATCATGGTTTTTGATAAAGTTGAACTTAATGTGCTTGAGAGTTGAGAACTCGGGTCCATCAATCATTTCTAAAGATCAGTGAATTCGCGGATCACAATGTGGGATGTCAATTCAATCAATAATCTACCACTGAGTGCACCAAATAATCTTTCTTACTTCAGAATAGAGCTAATCACGGTTCGCGGAAGCGATGCCTTTTTTCCGGCAAGCATTTTTCAACGTCATTCAGGTTTCAAATCGTTGTTTTTTTATGGTTTTTTGTTTGAGATTATCGAGGAAACCAACACGGTTATCAGTTATATTAATTTAAAAGCTATGCTGTAAACGTATATTTTTTTGTTCCCTCGACTGTAGGGAGGCTGATGTGAAAAGAGTTTGTCTGTCTGTCTGTTCGTGGCAGGGTAAAAAAACAAAAAAGGTGAATTTGTTTTCATAACAGTCGACGAAAGTCGATTTCGCATAATTTTGAGTTGAATTTTTTGGGTTCAGGAAAGGGTTTTTTTTCTGAGAAATTAACGATATTTCCTTGACTTAAGGAAGGATCATATGAAATAACATAAGTTTCTGTGTCAGAGTCAAAAGAACGTCGGAGTCAAGGAAACGTCGACCAAAAGATTTATGGCCAATTTGAGAGAAAGAACAAATATGCTCAGACTACGTTGTAAGAGTATTAGTGCATGAGTTTAATTCAATCATGACAATGCACTGCGAGATGTTTGATTAAGTAAAACTCTTTTACAAAATAGTCGTCACTGAAAATACTATAGATAGATTTTCGTCTGTGCATGTATTGCACAATAATTGTTAAAGCAGAACAGAGAAAATGATAACAAAATTGAATTCCGTCGAAGGTTAAGTCAGTCCTGCCGACGAGCGATATTTGTTTCATATCTTGATAAGAAACTAGATGAATTTTGAGAAATGAAGGAAAAAAACATTTTTTTCTCTGTATACTGTCTTGGTTTTCTCACCAAACAATTGATGTAAAAAATTGAAGTATTTAATCTGATCGAATAGCTTTTAGTCATGTAATTATCATAATCTTTGCCCATTAATATATGACTGAATAGAGCAACAATTTTTGATTTTATTGATAAATAAGATGTTTAAAATTCCAGCAGTAAAATCTACGTTTCTCACACTATTCGAAATAGCTTCATACTATATTTTATGTTAGATAGACTAATCAATGCTCTATCAAATTATATGGAAATAAAAAAATTCTTGAAGTGTTTAGCGGAAAACAAGTTGATAGAAGGAACTTCTTCTTTGAAACAAATATAAAGTAGCTTTATTACGCTGAGTTTCAGTGAATCAATGCTGATCTTTGTATA